TTAAAATTTATTTGAGATGAAAATATAAATTGTTTGAATTTATTTAACCGGGTTTAATTTAATTATGAAAATATCAATTTCATTCCTACACTCGACTTTAGACTTTATATTCTAGTTTGAGTTTATCCATTCAATCTAGAGTAAAATCTAATAAATTAAATTTTAAATTTTATAAAGAGATTGAAATGTAATTTTATTATTATATTAATTTATAACTTAATGAACCAACTAATAAATTTTACATTAAATAGGGCATGAGATTAGGGGTAAATGAATCGAGCTTGAACAAATAAGATTGTGTTCATGTTCGTTTGTTTATTTTTGAAGCTATTCATGTTCGGTTCGTGTTTATTTAAATGTTTAATATTGTAATCGTGTTCGTTTATTTATTTTTAAAGGTGTTCGTGTTTGTTCATTTAGCATTCACGAACATGTTCATTTAACGTTCGTGAACATGTTCGTTTAACATCCATGAACATGTTCGTTTAACATTCGTGAACATGTTCGTTTAACATTCGTGAACATATTTATTTAGAGTTCACAAATCCGTTCATTTAACGTCGCGAACATGTTCATTTAGAGTTCACGAACATATTCATTTGCAAGCCATAAAATGGTAAAATTATGCCACTAGTACTTAAACTCCTTAATCTTAACGATTTAAATCCCAAATTCCACAATGTATTAAATTTAGCCCCTACATTCATAAATATTTTAAATGTAAAAAATAAAAAAAAAGTAAATGAGTTTGTTCATGAACGTAAAGGAACAAGTCAATAAACGAGCGTACAAACGAGCTAATTCGTGAATAAAAACGAACCGAACACACATTTGTTCGCGTTCGTTCGTTTATTAAATGAACATAAAAAAATTGTTCATACTTGTTTATTTAAATGAACAAGTGAACAAAAACGAACGTTATACGAATGATTTACGAACAATTCACTGAAAAATCTGTTCATTTACACTCCTACATGAAATGACATATTATTCTATGTCATTTACTTTTCTTATGATCAAATTGAAGATTCTAGGTAATTAAAAGAACGGTTTAAGATTGTTTAAAGTCTTCAAAAATTTGAAAAGAAAATTAATTAAGTTTTTTAATATATATTCTATTAAATCTTTCAATCAATAAATTAAATAAATTAAATTATTTATTTGATAAATTAAATTAACTAAATGTTTTGATTAATTTTGACCTCTAAATAATAATAATTTTTTGTGACATATTACTCTCACATGACACGTTAATATTCTACCTTTAAACTTTATAGATTTTTAAAAGAAATTTTTTAATTTTTTTAAAAAAAATTTAAAAATAGATTTAAAAATAATGAATATTTAGAAATGTCACGTGAAAAAAAGCTTTTACACGATATGTAACTTGTCCATAACAATTGATAAATTTAACGGCTAATATTGATCAAGTGTACTAATATGAGCTTAATTGAGTGTAAATAAAAGGATAAAGTACATCGGAGGTTATTAAATTGTACTCAAATGATCATTTTGGTCATTAAATTTTTAAATATTATAAAAAAATAATTATATTTATTAAAATATTATAAAATAATAATTAATATTTATCAAAATATTACAAAACAATCAATAGACTTATCAAAATATTACAAAATAACAATTAAATTTATTCAAAATTTTACCATTATTATGATGTATGAATAATAAATAGTAAAATTTTGATAAATTAAATGATCATTTATAATTTTTAAAAGTTCAATGATAAAAACAATCATTTAAGTTGTAGTTCAATAATCTTTTTTGTATTTTATATTAACTAAAATGTCTTTTTACAAATCATAATTAATATTATATGATAGTGATTTAGTTTTTTTTCTCAATTATTATCTTTAAATAAAATAATTAGAGATAACCAATCTAATAATAAAACACGTATTCAATAAAGTTTTATATATTTTATTTATCAATACATTTATAATTATTTTTTTTAAGATATTACTATAATTATTGTTAATGAATTTTAAAAATATGTTTTAATTGTAAAATATTTACTCACCCACATCATAAATGTTATAAATTTGAATAAAATATTAAAACACTTAAGGTTTTAAAAAAAACTCATACGAATCATTATCGTTGGGAAGTTTTATAAATAAAAGAGGAGGAGAAGCTACTAACTAACCAATGATGCAGTCGACCTAACCCTAATTGTAATTCACTAACTAACAATGATTTTTTTAGCACATTTTACAATCATTTCCCTTCAACTCTAATTTAAAGAAACTATCGAATCTTAAGCTCATTGTAATATATTTTATTAACTCTAATCTAAAATTATCTGAAATTACAATAAATTCCATATTTGAATTCTTAATTTGATAACTTCTTATAAGTTTAAAATTTAGATCCCAAATATCTTTCTTTATTCTTAAATGGTATAATAACAAAATGTTCCTAACGTTTAATTAAAAAGTTATTTTGATCCATATTTTTAGAGTATTTTGACTTTTAATATTTCATTTTAAAGTAAAAAATTTCTCCATAAATGGACATTATTAGTTAATGAATGGTCACCGATCCAACATAAAGACATTTTTTTCCTAAAAGATAAATATTAGGGGCCAAAATACTCCCCAAAAAGGGCTAAAGTAATAGTCAAATGTTATGGCCATTTTTGTCTCTTTTGCCCTAAAATGAAATATTGAGAATCAAAATGCTAAAAAAAATAAGGACTAAAAGTACTATTTAGTTAAACTTTAGGGATTTTTTTACCATAAAATAAAAATATTGAGACTAAAATACTTCAAAAAAATATATATCAAAATGACTATTTAACCAAATGGTCGAGACATTTTTTTTGACATTATGTCATTCTTAAATTATAACCTTTTATAATATATAGAGAGAAGAGAAGATTAGGATCTACTTGTCGTGTATAAATTTTTGATTGAATATAAAAATAGTTGTTCAAAAAATATCATTTTTTTATTTAGGTGCCTAAACTATTTTTCGATCAATTCAGATGTCTAACGTTACAGACATTACCATTTTAAATGTCTCGGTTGTAATATCCATTAAAAAAATATCGTTAAGTGACAAATATCTTATTTTGATAATTTTGAAGATTTTATTTACAAAAAGACTTAAAAATAAATTATTATTTTAAAAAATGTGTTTTTTTTAGAAAAATCCCCCATCCCCTCCAAACATCCCTTCTCCCTCCCTCTCCCCTCCTTCTCACCCATTGTCCCCCCTCCTCTTCCCCCTCATTCTCATCCATAGTCCCCCCCTCCCATTCTCCTTTACTTGATATTAATATTTGGTGACAATATGCTATTGAAGACGATTGTGTCATTGGGTGGAGGTTTACTCAACGGCAACGGTAGTGTCAAGCGTAGATGTAGAGATGGGAATAATTTTTTTTAAAGTTTCAGAATTTTTTTTAAGATTTCTAAAAATTCGATTTTTAAAAATATTATATTTTTTATTTTGAATAAAACCATTTAAATTACCAAAACGTGACGTTTATCATTTAACGAATTTTTTTAACGTTGTTACAGTTCAAACACTTAAAATGATAACGTTTATAATGTTAGACACATGGATTGACCTAAAAATAATTTAAGCACATAAATGGAAAAAACAATATAATTTGAACACTTATTTTTATATTAAGACTGAATTTTTAAATTTTATGTGTTTTTTAATCATTTGATTAACTAAGTTTGGTACTTAAAATTAAAATTTTGAAATTATAAATATTCCGTTCTTTTTTTGATAAATTCTTCATTTTAAAACATTTTAAAAATAAATAATAAAATTGATATAAATCTTAAAATTTAGGGATATTTGAGGTAATTTACTCTATATTAACTGTAGTATAAAAAACTTAATATTCGAAACCAATCCTATTATTATCCATTTTAATAATTTTAATTTTTATAAATATTTAAATTGATATGTAAAAGTAAATTTAATTTTGATAAATATTTAAATTAATATTCAAAACCAATCCTATTATTATCCATTTTTATAAATATTTAAGTTAATATGTAAAAGTAAATTTAATTTTGATAAATATTTAAATTAATATTATCTATTATTATCAATAATCTAAGGCTGTACAAAGTGGGGTCCAAATCCTTCAAAACACAAACCCCAACTGTTACGTATTGTTTTCCAACTATAAGACTTGTTACTTCTTCGATGCTCTCTTCACGCTCTGTAATCTAAACTTAAGCTTTTTTTTCCTTATACTTTCCCATTTTTCTTCCATTTTCCACGCCTTTAATTCCTTTTTCTCCAGTATCTAATGCCTTCCCCTTTGAGTTTTCTTCATAAAGAATCATGGGTCGGTGCCAGATAAAGCATGTTCTTTGCTTCTTCCCTTCTTTTTGTCATTGTCAGAAGATGATATCCCCATTAAAATCTTTTTTTTTCTGAAGCTCTTCTCTTTGTGTTTTCATGGTGAGAGATTGGGACTATATATAGCTTTTGCTTGAAAAATAGAATCTCCCTACTTCCCTTGTATTGATTTGTTTTTCCATCAAGAGAAATACTGATTTAGAAAAGTTTGATTATTGGTTGTGTTAGCCATGGAAGAAGTGGGAATTTGTTGGTTTCATGGAGTTTAAGATATGACATTCATGGAGTGGCTTTTACTGAAAATGGTTAAAGCAAACTGTTCTGTCATTTCAGGACTTTGAGTTCTGTACTTTGGTTATATATATGTGTGTATATATATTTTATATAACGTTTATTTTGTGTTTGTTGATAATCCGAATCCAACTTTAGGCCATGCAAAGTCACATCTTCGAGGAGTTTCAAGGAAAAAGCATCATCTTTTCTGACTTATGAGATGGGAAGTGAGAATTCTTGAGGGGTAATCAATCTGAATTCTTCAAATGCAATTGTTCTTTTAGTTGAAGTGAAGATCCAAAGAAGAAAAAAACTATTCCTCTGAGTTTTTCGTTCAGGAATTTGAGCCTGTGGTTAAGGCTTGTGGGAGAAAAAAGAAAGCTTTGATTCCTTTCGCATCCAAAGAAAGCTTTTGATTATGGAACTTGTTGTTCAAGTTGCTTGAGAAAACATGAATTGTTGAAAATGGAATGTTGTGGTTTTTTCCCCGCCTTCAATTGTAACATAATCCAGCTACATTTCGACTGCATCTAGTTTATAAGAAACTCTTGGTTTCAGGTACATGCATTTCTTCATCTTCTTCCCTCATCAATTCAATCAACATAATCCAGCTACATTTCGACTGCATCTAGGATTGCCAGAACCCATGGTTCAAATAAAACTTGCTTTTAGGTACTTGGCATGTTCTTATATAGGGATAAGAGAAGGATTATAGATGTAGGAATTATAACTTTAGAGTTGTTGGATTGAGTTTCAGCTTTCAGGTAAGAGTTTACGTGACACTGCTGGACTAGGAGGTGGTGAATAAGGGAGATGAGATCCATATGGGTATCATAAAGGTTTAAGCAATGTGTTATAGGAAAATTAAGAGTTGCTGAGATCTAGAAGCTGATCTGTCAAAGGAAAATGTCTGGTTCTGCATCATCATCTTTAATGTCAACCGTCTCGTGACCATATGAAATTCGGAGAATCATAATTCTTTACCCTTTTATTAAAGGAAGCCGTTATTAGGAGATAAGAACCTTGCAGATTCTGGTATTCGAGTCTCAAAACTGTTTACTCTTACAAATAGTTGTATGAACTAATTAGCTTGACTGTGAATGGTGGTATTCAAATGTCAAACCTGTTTCAACTCTTTAGAATAATTGTATGAGCCTACTCGGCTAAGCCTTTGTTCGTTGTGGGAAGGTAACGGAAACAGTTATAGATGCTGGTATTTGATTGTCAAACCTTTTTCAACTCTTTAGAATAATTATATGAGCCTACTAGACTAAGCCTTTGTTCATCTTGGGAAAATAACGAATCAGTTGCAGGTGCTGGAGTTGAGTCTCAAACTTGATAAATGTCAGCTCTTAAGAATAGTTGTGTGAACTAACTAGGCAAAACCCTTAGTTCTTAGCCTGTAAATAAGTGAACCAGTTGCATATGCTGGTATTTGAGTCTCGAAGGCGTTAGATGTAGACTCTTAATAATGGTTGTATGGTTAAACATCCGTAGCTGGGAAATAAGGAACAATTGATTGTGATCTTTGTGGATGCTGGTATTCGAGTGAATGTTAAATAAGGGAACCACTAAGTTTCTACCTATTTTCCTTATTCTTCATGTGTTCGAATCAGTGAATATAAAATGTTTGTGCAATTTCATGATTTCTGACATAATCTATCTTCACTTCTGATATCAACGTAACAATGCTTTTTGTATTTTCTTCAAAACAGCTCTTAGCAATTCTATGATGAAGATGCCTTTTTGTCTCCCCTGTTCATATCTTTTGTTTTACGAAATAGGTGAAGATTTGAGAACTTATGTATCTCTTCTATGATTTTTATAAGATTCCAAGTCACCTTTCAACCGAAAATTTCGGATTATCAAAGCATTGAATTCTCAAACAAAAGACACATTAACCATGGCCAAAAGATCAAATGGATGCCCTGTGAGGCATGAAAAGGATCAGTCAGGCTGTATGTGGGGCTTGATTAGTATGCTTGACTTCCGCCATAGTCGATCAACTCAGAGACTGCTCTCCATTAGAAGGCGCAGGAACGGAAATGCCGTTGGTAAGTTCTTTAAGTTACTATGAAGCATTTGTGTGATGATGGATCAAACTCTATTTCAAGTTGTGAAGTGTTTATAAATGGTCTTTATTGTTAGAAAATCGGTTTGATTTTCTTGTTCCATATTGTTTTGAGTATCCCTTAATGCTCTGCATTTTCTCTTCAAATTTGCAGTTGTGGGGAATGCAGGAAATAAACTTATGTTGACTAGTTCTGCCGAAACTTGTCCCAGACCTCTTGTAAGCTTCGAGAACTTGTTCCGTGTGGAACACAAATCTGAATCTGACACGAGCCGAAGTAACATTGTTCATTAGATGGGCACATGAGTATAAGATAATCATCAATGGAGAAAGCTTTTCATTTGTATATTGCTTTTATTTTCAGGATGGTGAAGAGGAAACGGCAGCAATCGATGCATGTAAGCTGACCGTGAAAAAACTCCTAGAAGAAGAAATGAACGGAGGGAAGATTGCAATGAAAGAGGCATATAGTACAGAAGTTGAAGCAAAACAGTTCGATTCCAAGCAAGGAGATGATGGAAGGAAGAAACGTAAAAGAAAAAACAAAACTTGCAAGAAAAGTTTCGGTAACAATCTTGATATGGATGTTGCCAAGGAAGTGGTATCTGAAGGATCTTATCAGCATAAACCAGAGCAACAAACAACAAGCAATCTCGATATCGACAATCTAATGGAAGAGTTTTTTCGGAGAGTCCATCAGAAAAACATCAATTGTGTGAACCATGACCAGCTTGAGCGAAACGAGGCAATCAAGTTCTTAGTGAGTCGGAAGCTTCTTAATTGGGACCAACTTACAGAAGATGGGGAAATCCGAGCCTCGAAAGAAGTCATGGATGCACTACAGATTTCGAGTTTAGATGAGGAATTGTTTTTGAAACTTTTACAAGATCCAAACTCGTTGTCCAAGTATGTTCTAGACTCGTCAGATGCTCATTTAAACGATGAAGAGTCTAAGCTGGTGGCCGAATCAAACTGTTCGGACGTCGAATATGTCTATTTAAGACAACACAATGAGCCCGTTAATAGAAAAGACCGTAATTTCTTTGGAAGAAAATCGAAGTCTCAGGAAAGAGAACTTTCGGATGGAAATAAGGCTTCTCAAGCTTCAAATAAAATTGTAATTTTGAAGCCTGGGCCAACAAGTTTGCAAACTCCAGATACCGGAAGCAGCACCATCTCATCTTCGGAATCTCGGTATCTCATTGGGAAACGGGAGCCAAATGAGAAAGTTGGTTCCCACTTTTTTCTTGCTGAAATAAAAAGAAAGTTGAAACATGCCATGGGAAGAGACCAACATAGAATCCCCACAGATGGTATATCTGAAAGATTTACCGAACTTAGTACTGAATATGAGACTATTGATTTGTCCAGGCGAAGGTATATCGAGGGAAAGAATCATCTCTCTGAGTTGCTAGCAAATGGGGATAAAAATGTGGATCTTTCAAGTGCACAGGTTCTGAAAACCATAGATGGGAATCTTTCAAGTGCACAGGTTCTGAAAACCATAGATGGGAATCTTTCTCTTCAGGAGTATAACTCATCCCCTGTCCACAGCACTGGCCAGTACTCGGAGCCTAGTTTTAGGACTGCACAGTCGATATTTGCAGGTTCGGAAAAATCTGAGAAGACGATTGAAAGCAATCAAGTAAACCTTGTCAGCAATCTAAGGCAAATGAAAGAGAAGAGCGATAGCCGTCTTTGCAGTTCCAACAACAAAACTTGTAAAGAAGTCGAAGGTGATAATGCAATTTCAGACAATCTTGACACTCATGAGAATAATGATGAAGATGATCCAGTTTTTTGTTCAACGAAAGATGAAATGAGTTCCGAAGGTACAATTTTGCATTTGTTTAATCTATGATGACAATCATGAATATCGAGCTTTATTCGCATATAACCTTCATAAAATTTATGCAGATTCTGCGAGTGTTGTTGAAACAACTGAAATTATGGTTCATGAAGAAAGCAAACTCTTGGATTCTTCTCCACTAGCGTCTCCATCGAACACATCAATCACGAGAAAGGTTGATTTTATTGAGAGTTTTGCTGATATAAAGGAGTGGTCAAGTCCCATATCTGTTCTTCAGCCAATATTCACAGATGATCTTATCAGCCCTGCAAGCATCAAGTATTCTTCCGGTAGGCATATGAGAGAATATTCTGTTTATTTCACATAAGATGTTTGTTTTTAGCTTTGTCGTGCCACATTTTTTTAATTCCAAGTTGTTCACCAATCTTCAGGTGAAACATTCATACAACCTCTAAGAATTCGATTCGAAGAACATAACACTTTGGCCACAGATCAGAGTAATCGTTTTAAAGCTTGTATGGATGATAAGGATTCAATATTTGAGAACATAAAGACGGTGCTGCAAGCCTCGAGTTTCAACTGGGATGAACTCTACATCCATTCACTTTCTTCCGAAGTGCTTATCAACCCATTGTCGCTTGATGAGGTCAAGTACTTGCCGAACGAGCTTTGTCAGGACCGAACTCTGCTCTTCGACTGCATTAACGAAGTTCTTGTAGAGTTTTGCAGGAACTATTTTGGTTGCCCTGGCATTTCATTTGTTAAACCCAGTATCAGTCCTCTCCCGAACATGAATAATACCATTCAAGAGGTCACGAAAGGAGTTTATCGGCATTTGCTTCCGATCCCACTGCCTTGTACTTTGGACCTGATAATCAGAAAAGACTTGGCTAAGTCAGGAACATGGATGGATCTTCAACTTGACACTGGTTGTATTGGTGTTGAGATTGGTGAAGCCATCTTTGAAGATTTAGTGGGAGACACCATAACAAGCTGCATAAACGAAAGTCGGAACTGCAAATATAATGTGTTTCCAGCTTAGCTGAAGGAACTACGAGAGTTAGATCGACTCATGAACGACAACTGACTCGGTTTTGTTCATACTTCATACCAATAATGCACCTCACATTGGATTAGAGTTTGGAGAAAAGCAAGATAATCGAGTCTTTTGAATAGAAAGGATAGGCAGTAACATTGAATCAAGTAAGAAAGGACTTTCACTTAACTCCTTTCCCATTGAAATCATGTAGATACAGAGAAAACTTCCGGCACCAAAAACCGTTCACCGGATGATCTCACAAGCAGCAGCCAAAGTGTCTGTTTCATGCATCACGATCCTTTGTAACTGCTTCATCGGTGCAGGTGACATTTCTCATCGTAGAATTCTGTCGAGTTTGGCGTGCAATGCTTGTGTGTTTAAGGTGTATGTTCTTAACTTTGATTTCATTCATTCTTGGACTGTGTATCAGTGTGCCTCGGTATTTGGAGTTCCGAACAGAGATTTAATTTACGGTTGCATCTATATTGTTCATGTCACATTTGTTGCAGGTAAGAATGTGATATATCAGTGACAAGAGAGCCAAAACCGTATAACATCGACTGCGTCCATAAATAATCGAGCATGAGAATCGAACCAATCGAGTCTGAGCATAAAAGTGAAACTGAATTCCAATAGAGATTTTTACAGCTTGAGTTTGAATTTGGCTTGGATTGATTACACATCATTATTTTGGACGATATAATATATATCACACATCATTTTAGGTGAGATAAAATATGTCACAATATTATTTCTTTAACTCACATTAAAATTATATTTTTTTACCTTAGATCCCAAAACGTCAAATCTCAGAATCCTAAATCTTAAATCTTAAACTTTAAATCTTAACCTCTCATCTTAATATATATATATATATATATATATATTATTTTATTGTGACTTAATAAAATATTTATTTATGTGTTATAAATTTTAATTAAATTTAATTAATTAATTAATTTAAATGGTTATAAATTAAAAAGTAGAATGACATGAGATATTAAGCCTAAATTCAATCCAGCCCACTCCAAAATCTTTTCGCTTCTCTTCTCTCTTCTGCTTCTTTCTTTCTTCCGCGACCGCGACCGCCGTTACTGCCATCTGTTACAGCCGACTACACTTATTTTCCTTTTTCTCTCCGCCGTGCCGCTCCTATATCTCCTTACCAGTGCCGCTATCATGGCCTGCCTATCAATTGGTTTCCTTATCCTTTCCATTAAAAAAGGTTGAGTAGAAATTTAGCTCTTGTGGTGCAACCCCTTGGTTTCTCAATTTCAAATTTAGGTTTACTAGTTTTCAAGTATTGTTTGATATCGCTTTAGGTTTTGGTTGCTTTCGTAGATTTTATACTTTTGATGATTTTTTTCAATTTCGGAATATAGGTTATACGTTTCATTTTTTTCATACGTTGTTATTTTTGCTTGTTAGAGTATTATTAGTTTGTTATGGGTTGTTATTAGCTGGTTATTAGTTTGTTATGTTGGTTACTTGAGCTATATAAGTCATACTTGTATTAGGTTGTATGCAGTGTATTTCTTCAATGTTCAATAAAGACTTCATTCTGGCATCTCTCTATCTTTAAGCTTCCTCCTTCATTTGTTATCTCAGTCCATATCTTTCATCACTCTCAGCTTCCATGGCAGCATTCTCACATGGTATCATTCGTCGATGATCTTGTGACCATCTCTCTTCCGCTTCATTACGATTCAGTTACACGTAGAACCTCATCCCCTACCAAACCCATAGTTGTTTCTTTGAATTGAAGAAGAAAAGAACAGCCTTCGACGGTTCTCGAAACCAATTCAACATCATGGAATCATCACAATCTCGGAGGGTTTTCGTGAAGCTGATGAAGATTTTCGCCATGAAGCCCCATTGCCCCATTTCAAGAGCATCTCCTTCGATGTATCTCTTGCAAACGCGCCTCTTCAGCGATAGTAGACGACCTATTAGAGAAAACGAACCCATCGGTTTTAATGGCAATGAGAACGATGATGAGGTTCCTCAACGTATCCCCAATAGGCCCTTAAGGGATCAAAGGCCTTTCAATATCTCTTCTCGAGAAAACAAAGGAACCAACTTTCAGCACTCCACGACCAGATTTGCTTCCGATTCTATAAAGAAGAGAGAAGATTCTCAATCTGATGTGAATTTCCTGGAAAGGTTCAAGCTTGGGCTTGATAACAAGAGAGAAAAACTGCCCTCAGATTCAGAAGCTATAAATAGGAAAGAGCATGAAGAAAAGGTTTCCCCACCACAGGATGCTGATGAGATTTTCAAGAAAATGAAAGAAAATGGTCTTATCTCGAATGCTGTAGCCATGCTTGATGGTCTATGTAAAGATGGGCTTATCCAAGAAGCAATGAAGCTTTTCGGATTAATGAGGGAAAAGGGTACAATTCCGGAAGTTGTTATATACACAGCTGTTGTTGATGGCTTCTGCAAAGCACACAAACTCGACGATGCAAAGAGAATTTTCAGGAAGATGCTATCCAAAGGTGTGGTTCCCAATGTCTTTAGTTATAGTGTTCTGATTCAAGGATTGTATAAATGTAATCACTTGGATGATGCTATTGTGTTTTGTTTGGAAATGCTTGACGCCGGCCATTCTCTAAATGTCATCACTTTTGTGGGCTTGGTTGAGCATTAAGTTTCTCAAATAGTTGTGGGTATGTTGCTGAGTATTCCAGTAAACATAATTTTGATATTGAATAGTCCACTGCCAAATAAATAAAGAAAGAGCAAATGGACATGGTCAGTTGTTCAAGGAGAGGTAAACACATCGATACTGATCAGAAAAAAAATGGAAAAGAAAGGAAGAATGATTCCAGTACATTTTCAAACAACACATGTACAGTTAGCTGATCATATGTTCAAGGAAAGGAATATGCCAAGTAATTGATCAAGCCAATGCCAGCTTTCAAAAGCTGTGAAAAAAAGTTATAGAAGAAGAAGTAAAGAACTCAATACCAGCACATGTTCAATCTTATTGAAGAAGATCAAGAAGCTGAAAAAGTTGGGTGAATAAATGTTGTGTGGATGGGAAAGAAGAAAGAAGCAGTGAGTTTGTTGTTCGGATACTGTCAAACGATTGGTACACTGATGCAATCACTAGCTGAAAACAAATTTTTTTTTTCTCAAGATGGTTCAGAAGGAAAGAAGAGCGGGGTGAATGTTAGAGTATTATTAGTTTGTTATGGGTTGTTATTAGCTGGTTATTAGTTTGTTATGTTGGTTACTTGAGCTATATAAGTCATACTTGTATTAGGTTGTATGCAGTGTATTTCTTCAATGTTCAATAAAGACTTCATTCTGGCATCTCTCTATCTTTAAGCTTCCTCCTTCATTTGTTATCTCAGTCCATATCTTTCATCACTCTCAGCTTCCATGGCAGCATTCTCACATTGCTTCTTCTTTTTTATTTCTGCGCTGTAAGTTTTATGTTGATAAAGCTCACACTTGCAATCGTTGTTCATGTTATTGAGGTTATAATCTTGAATAGGTTTCGTAACATGTTAAGAAGTGTTATGATCTTTTGAGTAACTTTGATAAGTGAACAACGTATATATGAATTTTAATATATTTTTGGAGAATTGCTAAAATTCCATTTCAATACTAACGCATAAAAACCTCAAAAAAGAAATAACGCATAAAAGGGTTAAGTTTTTGGTATTAAAACAAATCAAAACCTTTTAGTTGAAATTAATGCGTGGAATGATGTTCTTGGTGTTGTGTAGGTTTAAGTTGGACAAAAATCAAATAAGATTTTTTTTGAAAGCTTTGCAAAACGAGTTGGGGTTTTGGGTTTTTCCTTAACTCCATTGTTTAGATCCTCTTGCTTCTCAATTTATAACCAATTCCAATTCGTGTCCAATTGGTTCCTAAATTGAGCATTTAGCCTTTCCATGAAAGAAAACTTTATCATATCTATAGAAATTTGGTTACTGCATCAGTTAGTTTGTCGATCATCTATGATTTTTTTTGCTTTAATTAAGTGTAATATTTTGACTGACTTGTTTAAATCCTTCTTTCAAGTTATTGAAGCAAACATTCTGGGCAAGTTGAAGTTCATCTTGGTTGAGGCACGAAACCTATAAGGCTTTACTCTTTTTTCTGTTAAGATGGCAGATTCAAGTGAGCCCCAGCTTCCCAGAAAAGAACCTCAACAATCTGAACAAGGTAAATTTTGTCCCTTCTTTTATCATGTTTAAAGCTATGAATGGATTTTTACTTATAATTGCAATGCCTATCAAAGTTGTCGTTCCCCATCCTGGGGTTAGTTTACCATATTCTGAATACAATGGTTTCAAAAGATCCCTAAAGCAGATCATCTTGAACCTGATCTTGAGCTATGTTCAAATTTTTGTGTAGCCATAAATTTTCTTTTGTATTCAATGAGATCTGTTCATTCTGTGTATTATACCCCTGTAAATAAACGATCTTACCATAGATCTATTAGCTAACTTGTTGATTTTTCAGTCTGCAATTATAAATATCCATTAGCTAACGAGATATAGCAGATCTTCTTTTGATACTATGGCAATAGTAATATAAATAAATAATGGCCAATTATAAATAAATAATGAAATAAAATAATGGGCAACTATAAATAAATAATGACTAAAATGAATAAATTGTAACTACATATCAGATTCATAAATAAAATAAACATAGAACCAAACAGTGACTAAAAAGCAATGCTATCAAAACCAGTAGCCAATTTTAAATTCATCATAGTAGAATGATAATTAAATTGAAACAAATGCAAATGAGATGTTAAACGAAGAATAAAATAAAAAAAGACCCCTAGTGGCTAAAATATAAAACACGGCAGAGTTGCAGGAACTTAAAGGCAACTTTTCCGCAACTGTAGTGACCGAGATGCTAAAACACGGGTAACCTAGAGGGACCTGGAGATAATTTTTTCCAAAACAAACCATACAAATACCCTATTTTGGCTAAAATTAAAACCCTAGCCACTTTATTCTTCTCCACTCATTCTTCTTCTACCCGCAAAAAAAAAAAAATAAACAACTCTCCCCACCCCTTTCACGCAACCGGCCGAGATCCACCGAAGATCGGTGGTCCTTCTCTCCAACGGCCACCCCAAACCAACCCAACTGCTGAACGGACAATAAACAAGGCTAACCCGAGACCCCTAACACCCTCCCCGAAACCGGCCACTTACCACTCGACGCTAGCTCGGCTCACCGGCGGCCTAGGACTCAGGTAAAACCTCCATTCCCCTCCTATTTTGATTCTAAAAAAGAATGCATGCTTGAAAAAAAAATAAAAACCGAAAAAGAGTTCAGAAAAATGAGGTGAAATACCTCATGGTGCTGCCTTGAGTGATTTTTTTATTTTATTGTTTTTATTATTTTTTCATTATTTGTGAAAAATTGGTTCTTACAGATGGCAGATTCAAGTGATTTTTCAGTCTGCAATTTCTTTAGGAAGCCAACAAAGGGGAAAAATATAAGGAAAAGGACAATAAACGAGGATGAAGATGAGGATTCCGGAAATGGCTCATCTTTGTTGCAAAATCAGAGAAAGACCTCAAAGGCTGACAATAAGTTATACTTCTCAACTGGATCCTCCAAGACTGCTGCTGCTGAATCAAATACAGAACCTGACAAACCAATTTTTCAATTTGAATCTTCGAAGGAAATACAAGTTCAAAATGATAGCAGAGCCACAGCAATATTAGAAACCGAGACGGAGTTCACAAAAGATGCTCGAGCTGTACGTGAGAAAGTTCTTAAAAGAGCAGAGGAGGCTCTGAAGGGGAAAAACACGAGCTCCGGGGGAGAAAAATTGTACACTGGAATGCATGGCTATGTAGATCATAAAGCTGGGTTTCGAAGAGAACAAACTGTTGCCAGTGAGAAAGCTGGTGGCTCACATGGACCTCTTAGGGCTTCTGCCCACATCAGGGTTTCAGCAAGGTTTGATTATCAACCAGACATCTGTAAAGACTACAAAGAAACTGGTTACTGTGGTTACGGTGATTCATGTAAGTTCATGCATGACCGCGGAGATTACAAGTCCGGATGGCAGTTAGAGAAGGATTGGGAAGAAGCGGAGAAAGCAAGGAAAAGAAATCTTGCATTGGGTGGAGATGATGATGACGATGAGGCCGGGGCAGCTCAGAGTGACGACGATGACGAGGATTCATTGCCCTTTGCATGTTTTATTTGCCGGCAGCCATTTGTCGATCCTGTTGTTACTAAATGCAAGCACTACTTCTGTGAGCACTGTGCTTTAAAGGTACCGCCATATTTCCTTCTATGTAGATCTCCTTTTTTTCTTAAATGTCTTATTCTTGTTATGTGGCTCAACTTTTTTAAGGTATAGAATATAGATTTAGGACATAATCACTTTAAATCATTAATTTTTGGTACCTAGTGTCAATTATGGTTTACATTTCTATTCATTGACTAAAAAACCACACCGGACCTTCTGATCAGATAGGTTGAATAGGAACAACAGGCTGTCCAGTTCAACATAGTATATTGTCCCAGCGATAGGGGTGTTCATGGTCAGGGCCGTGGTTAGGTTTTCGGGGGCCCTATTTTCTAGATATATTTTTCTAGATATATTCGATTTCGGGGCAACAATAGTGGCGTTTTTTTGACAAACGCCGCGATAGATCCATCTATAATGGCGTTTTATCAATAAAGCCGCAATAATAGTGGCGTTTTTTTGAAAAACGCTGCAATAGGTCCATCTATAATGGCTTTTATTGGAAAAACGTCACTATATATATACTTTTTTGGGGGCCCTTCGCGGTTGTGCAATTTGCGTCGGGCCAGCCACGGCCCTGTTCATGGTCGGTTACTAAATTTTATTAACCGCAATCTAACTATTAAAAATTGGTTAACTGCTAATGGTTAATCGTTATTAACAGTTTGGTTATAGGTTAACTTGTGGTTAATCTGTTACAATTATTTTCAAACACAGCACAACATAAAAGTTATGAAATTTCATAAAATTTATGATGATAAACATGTATATTTGTAGATGAATTTTATTTTTATAGAAATATATATATGCTAAAGTATATTCAGTTTTTTTCTTTTGCAGATTAAAATCTTAGGTATATATATTCACATTTTTCAGTTTAAAATCAAGTATTTGTTCCATCTATGTTTGATTTAATGTGCTCCTATATAAGATAAACATGATAACTAAAAAATAGGGAGGAACTGTTTTGATTTTATTTTTAATTTTATTCTCTAAAAATATAATTAACTAATTATAATTTATTAGCGGTTATGGTTAACCATTTATCAAAATTCATAACCATAATCGTTAACCGGTATTTTGTGGTTCGATTGACTGAAACAGTTAAACCTTAACAGTTCGATGAATTGACTTGTAAAATGCAACAGTCACACTGGTTAACGGTTTCAATTAACTGTAATGGATTAATATGAGCACCCGTACCAGCGATACACATACAATCGCTTTATCCGGTGAAAAATGATTTTTGTATTTTTTAGTTGAGATTTGTTTTTGATAGTTAGCTGATGAGATTTGAATATATATAATCAATTAATTTTTCGATTTCTAATCTGGTCATGTCAACAGTTTGAAAAATAAACTAACCAAAATGCATCTTTTGTTGTCTGATTTGTTCAGCATCATGCGAAGAATAAGAAGTGTTTTGTATGCAACCAACCCACCCTTGGCATTTTCAATACAGCTCATGAGATACGACGAAGGATGGCTGAAGAGGGTAAACTGAAACCCCATTGATGCTTTGCTCTCTTGAGCATTTTTATTTGTTGTTGAGTACTCAGGCATGGTTGTGTTGGACTTTGAGGGCTTTTTTTGGGTTAAATTTACTTGACTAGTTCTTGTAAGAATCATATCTTCATACTCATTAGTCCAATATGTGCCAATCATATGGTATTAAAGCTACTCAATTTCCTTGTGAGAATTTATCTCATTTGCCGAAACTAGTTTTACAAAATGAAGTTATGTTTTGCACACTTATATCTTTATTCTTAAATTTTGCATCTTCTTTATCAAAAATTTGTTTTGTTTGTAATGCTTGGAATTTAGACTAAATTATACAAATTTCACTTGATAAAAAATGAAAGGCCGGTAATTTTTCTGTCAAAGAAATCGGTTGGTATTGGAATTTTTGAAGGTTGAAATTCTGAATAATTGTCTTTCAAAATTATCAAATAAAGTTTAATCTTTCATAGCGGTATTTTTAATTAAAGTAACTTTTTTATTTATTGATCTATTAATTGTGCTATGTTGAACTGGCAACCAAATGATTCCACTGATGTTCAAACTCTTCTATGCCCTCCAAGTGACCTAACTTGTAACATTCTCCATGTCGGGTGAGTGATTAATTTGCAAAGTTTCAACATTTGGTGATTAAAGTAAAATAATTATATAGTTTAAAAAGTATGGTTAGTAAATATGAGATGGAGGTAAGGACCAAATGGTCATTTGTAAGGAAATTTTAATTAAAATAAAATGTTATGGGGTTATATGAGAACCCACGTGTGACATTAGGTTTCCAGAACCCTCCCATTTCTTCTTCCTTCTTCCTTATTTTCTTCTCTTCCTTCTCTTAACGTGGAGCTTGCAAGTGAAGGTAAGAATCTGAACCTTGGTAGTTTCTTTGATTTTTAAGATTGAAAAATGAAAGTTTGGATGTTATATAAGCTAAAGGAAAGCTTATATGACATTAAAACAACAAGATAAGTGTTTTAGAGATAGATTTGGAAAATGAATTTTTAGATGAAATTTTGATAGGAATGAGTTTTTGAAGTTTGAATAAGATTTTTGACTTGTCAAGAAGCTAACTAAGAAGTATGAGGTGTTAGAATTCAAATTAGAACATATTGGAATTTGGGTTGGATTCTTAAATTCTACATGGAGAATTAGATTTCTAGGTTTTAGAGGTATTTAATGGATAATAATTAGTTAAAGTAAGTGTATGAAAGCTAAGAGTAGTAAAGAGAGTGAAATATGTATGTTTGAGCTGAAATGGGATGATTTTCGAGCTCAAAATAGGATTTCTGAGTTAGGGGAATCGGTACCCATTCAAGGGGAACCGATACCCCCTCAACGGATATGAAATTCCAGAATGCTAGAGGGGAACCGATACCCCAGGGGGGGGGAACCGATTCCCCCATGAGAAAAAAAAAGAGAAGAAAATAAAGAAAGACTAAGCTATTAATTTCTTAAATTAATAAGCTATTAAAGCTTAATTGCAAGACATAGACATCTGATGATCATCTTGAAAATTATGTTTATGTAGATACCGAGCCTACACAAGTTCGGGAACAATCTACCAGTAGGATCGATCGAGGAAAAGGCAAAGAAGTATAGGTGAGTGCATATGCATAGCATGATTATAGAAATATACTCCATTCTAGACTTGTGATAAGTCTAGATTTCATATCTTGGTACATGAGCATAGTCGGTATTATGAGACATGACATGAATTCATATAAAATGCATTATATGACATGACTATGTGGGAAAAGTTATGAGCTATGTGAAAAGGTAAGAATTTACATGTCTACGCGATATAGACTACTTGAAATGTAAAAGCCCATGTTATGTAGATGAGAACTATAGGTATAGTTGGCATGCCAAGGGTAGAGGGTATACGCGGTTCTTTAGGACATATGTATATCCTTTGGAACCTGTGTGAAGTCTTGAAAGACACATACTTGATCCATAGTATATGTATATGATTCTTAAGGAATTCTATGTGGTCCTTATGGACATCATTATATGGCACTACGGTGCAATTCTACGGGGCACTTCGGTGCATTTATACGAGCTGTGGTGACAGCATAGTGCACAACCTCACATTACTCAAATACCTTAGGTTCTCAATATGCTATCATGGGCCAATAAACTTATTAATACAGATTCATAAATGTTACAGTCATACGCTTACAGGTATGGGTATTGATGATGTATACTACATTGATTAAGTACATGTTTGCAATTCATCTCATATGATCATGACATTTTCATTACAATTACCTTATTATTATTGCCTCACTAAGTCGATGACTTAGCGTGTGAGTGTTTCACACGTAGGATCCGAGGAAATAGACGAGACAGGTGAAGCAGCTTGACAGTATTACTCCTGCAATCATCAGATCAGAAGCAACTTAATCAGTAGGTCATTTTGTTATGTAAATGGCAGTTGGCATGTAATTAAAGAGTTAAGTTGTGTATGCTCTGAATATTTTGGTAAACTTATACTACAGTATGTATATTATTGTATTTTCTTAATATAAGTACAAATATTTTACTATTATTTGTTAAGAGTTGTGTTTTAAAGTCAATGTAGTATCTCTGACTCATATCCGGGTCGGGTATGGGTTGGGGGTGTTACATTTAATGGTATCAGAGCTATGGTTTAGCCGATTCTAGGCATAAACCAGAGTCTATAGAGTCTTTAAATGGAATACATGCCAACAAATAGTGAGAACTTCTGATCTGGTATAGTATGAGTATGCTGTTTTGCTAATAGAACAATGTGTTTATTCTTATTAGATGTCCGGACATAATAGCTCCCGAAGTGAAGCGGGAGAAGATAGGCATGCTGAAAGCAGTAATTCACCTGCCCTGGCCAGGCAATGTGAAGAACAGGCATCTCAAGGAGTGCCTGTGCAAGATCAAGATACGTTCTTCAGAACGTTAGACGCTATTCTGACGCGTCTTCAACCTTCTGCTCCACTAACTCAAAGAATTAATGTAGCAAAAGAGTTGAGAAGTTTAGGAGCTCCCGAATTTAAGGGAGAAGCTGAGGAAGGTCCAGTGTCAGCGGATCTTTGGTTGAATGATTTGAAAATCATGTTAGATGGTCTCCACTGTTCCGAAGTGGAGAAATTAGATGGAGCTGTATCTTTATTGAGGGGTCAGGCGAGGATATGGTGGACGAACGTCACCATGAGAATGTCAACCGACCAGTTGACTTGGTCTTTGTTTTTAAAAGAATTTAAAAACAAGTATATTGGAGATCAGTTTATCCGCCAAATGAAGCAGGAATTTATGAATTTGAAGCAGATGAGCCGCTCTGTGTATGAGTACGAATGTGAGTTTAATAAGCTGAGCAGGTTTGCAGCTGAGCTTGTGCCTACTGAAAAAGATGCTTGCGAGTGGTTCGTGGAGGGCTTGCGCCCTAGACTTAAAGAAATGTTGATAGTATTAAACTTGTCCTCGTTCCAGGAGGTGATCAATCGTGCAAAAGCTCTTGAAAGGGCTCAGAATGAAAGATTTGGGGACTCAAGAGTTCAGACATCAAAGAGGACGACTACTTATTCTGGTTCAACACCAACAAAAAGGGGAAGAGACTCGGGATTTCGATAACAAACTAGATCAGAATCAGTTGCATCGTCTGCTAGGGGAGCAAGTCAGGCAAGACCTAGACAGACGCAGTCAGTGGAATCCGGTGCTGGGAGATCTACTCCGGGTCAAGGGAAACAGTGTGAGCACTGTGTGAAAAACCATTATGGGGCTTGTCGTATGGCTGCTGGGACTTGTTTTCGATGCGGAGATGCCGGACATTTTATCCGGGATTGTCCCTTGATTGTTGGTGAGCCGGCACCATCTGGAAGAGCTGGTTCTTTCTCACAAAGAGGACGAGGAAGAGGCAGAGGAAGGAACCCGTCTGAATTCTCTGCTCAACCTGAAGTTCGATCCACTGCTCGAGTATACAACCTAAAGACAAGTGAAGACCGTGATGACCCTGATATTATAGCAGGTACTTTTCAGTTGTATGATAAATTAGTATTGGTACTGATTGATCCGGGTTCTAATTATTCTTATATTACAAGTAAGTTAGTAAAGGAGTTGGGGATTCCCTTAGAAGCTACGAGTAATGAGATTATAGTAACAACTCCGTTAGGCCATAGTGCCATGGTGAATAAAGTCTGTAAGGGGTGTCCCATAAAGGTTCAGGGAATTGAATTCCCTGCTAATCTGATGGAATTACCCTTCGACGAGTTTGAAGTGATTCTGGGAATGGATTGGTTGTTCCGTTATTATGGAGATGTTAGTTGCAGATTGAAAAAGGTAACTCTGAAAAGTCCAGAAGGAACAGAGATAAGTGTGAGCAGTGAAAAGTTTAATCCTTTAGCAAATGTAATATCAGTAATGTCTGCCAAGAAATTATTGCAACAAGGATGTCAGGGTTTTCTTGCAAATGTGATTGATTCAAGAGCTCAAGAGAAAAGGTTAGAGGAAATTCCAATTGTTCGAGAGTTCCCTGATGTTTTTCCTGCTGAATTGCCAGGATTACCTCCGGATAGAGAGGTAGAATTCCAAATTGAAATAATGCCGGGAACAGCTCCGATTGCAATGGCACCTTATCGAATGGCTCCGAAAGAATTGCAAGAGTTAAAGAATCAATTACAAGAATTGCTAGAGAAGGGATTTATCCAACCAAGTGTATCGCCTTGGGGAGCTCCGGTGTTATTTGTTAAAAAGAAGGATGGATCAATGCGCCTTTGCATTGACTATCGACAGCTCAATAAGGTGACCATCAAGAACAAGTATCCTCTTCCGCGCATTGATGATTTGTTTGATCAACTAAAAGGAGCTTCGGTATTTTTGAAGATCGATCTACGTTCGGGTTATCATCAATTGAAGATCCAGGAGAAAGATATTCCGAAGACGGCTTTCAGAACGAGATATGGTCATTATGAATTCATCGTAATGCCATTCGGAGTAACGAATGCACCTGCTGCTTTCATGGATCTTATGAACAGGATTTTTCAGCCCTACTTGGACCAGTTTGTTGTTGTCTTTATTGATGACATACTGGTGTACTCGAAATCCCATGAAGAGCATAGCACACATCTGAGGATCGTCTTGCAAATTTTAAGAGATAAGAAGTTGTATGCCAAATTGTCCAAATGTGAGTTCTGGTTAAAGGAAGTAATTTTCTTGGGGCATGTGATCTCGGCAGTTGGGATTAGAGTAGATCCTCAAAAGGTTAAAGCTA